TAGTTTTTAGTTTTGGTTGTTCAATTACCGTCAGCAGCCTCTGATTTCATAATTGTCTAAGTTTACTGCGCACATTGTATTATTGGCAAGTTCCATAGGCTCTGCTGAAGATGGTAACAATTTATTTCAATTGAAATTTTATCTTGTGTAGAATCTTCTATATACNCTTTATGTTGCATTGTGAAATTATATTGAACTACCAAAACAAACACAAGAGACTTTTTTTGGTGAGACTTCATTCTATCGGTCAGATTTAGTACATTTTATTCATGTAATATGCAGACAAAAGTTTTTGTCGATATGTTCATTTGCTTAGACGATATGTAGTTTTTTTTTAAAAACTGTGTCCCAAAAATCCCAAAAAGCGTTGCTGAACACATGTTTATATAAAAAAATAATCTTAAATTTGGACAAAGAAATCGAGCCTTCATTTTTGACACGATGAAATGTTAGGCTCTGTATATCAAATACTTTGTAGCACTATTCCATTTCTAAGCCCACAGATAAAAAGGTCTTTTTCAAATATGCGACAATTTATTTTTTCGAATGTTGTCATCAAAAGTCAACATTTTCGTTAAATTTACCGTTGACAAAGTAAGTCTCTTTTGTCACTTAGCTGCAAAATACTTTTATGTTCCAGAACGCCAAAGTCTAGTTCTAGAACATAAAACAAATGTCAAAATAATTTGTAATTTTTTCGAAACTTATTTATGATTTTCTTAATATTACTATTATAAACAGGACCATTACAATTTATTTTACACTACAAGTAAATTGAAAGTGCCGATATCGCAGTGAGTTAAATTTATGCCAAATCCAGTGCTATCAGTTATCGTAGTTTTTAGTTTTGGTTGTTCAATTACCATCAGCAGCTTCTGATGTAATAATTGTCTAAGTTTACTGCCCACATTGTATTATTGGCAAGTTCCATAGGCTCTGCTGAAGATGGTAACAATTTATTTCAATTGAAATTTTATCTTGTGTAGAATCTTCTATATACAGGGTAGGCCATTAGTGTAAGAAAGTAAAATAACTCCCTTGTTACTCATAATACAGGAACAAAGTTTATATAAAAGTTGTACAGAATCAAGAAATCTAAACTACAAGATTAATTTGAAACATACAGGGCGATGAGTAAAAACGAGACACGCCAAATATTACATTTTTTAAATGGAATACCCTGTATATTTTTAAACATATGGGTTTCCGAGAAAATTCTATATATGGCAATATAATCGGTTTATCATTTTAGTACGGGGTTACCAAGTTTTGTAGAAAATTTTTCGAATTTTGGAAAACACATGACCTTGAAAAAATTGTATTAACTTTCAGTTGCTAACACTTGGAACAAAATAATTAGACAGAGTTATAGGCAAATGTTAGACAAAGGCTCCTATACTAGCTAATATCGATATTTTATACAGGGCATTTTTATAATACGATCATTTTTAGAAAGATTAAACTTGACTTTCTAAAATTTTTCAAATGGAACACCATGTATTTTATTGTTCCGTTTTATTCACATATCGGTCCACTTCAACTTTTATTAAGCATGTTCTAAGTATAACTAAAATTGTTAGTTTTTAAGATATAGCAACATTTCTGAAAGAACTTAATTTTTATTATTTTATAGAATACCAAGTAACAAACATTAACTAATAAAATTAACTTAAAATGGAACGATAAATTATGAACTGACAAGTTGACACAATGAAACAGTTTTTTCCAAAGCCATTTCGTGCGACCGAAAATAATAAAAATTAGATTTTTCCAGAAATGTTGCTATATCTTAAAAACTAACAACTTTAGGTGTAGAACATAATCGTAGCTCATCTCTTCTCAAAATTCCATAAACACCAATTATTAAAATGACCTGAAAAGTTGTCCAAAATTAGTAAAGTCGATCGATTTATATTAATTTGAATCACCTTTTCCAGCAGAAATCTGTTATCAGGTGCTTCTTGTAAAAATCTCTCAATTTCCTTTTTCGTTAGACTGTATCCAACTGATTTGCTTTTCAAATATGGTATTAATTTTGAAAATTTTCTGATATTTAAATTTTTTTGGTATTCACTGAATATAATATTTTACTTATTTAATTTATGGAAACAGTGACAGTCTTAATAAAGTTAAACTGTCAGTGTAGATACTGCATACATATATGATTATTAATTCCGTAAATCTCTTACAAAAATTGTTTGCCCCAACTGACTAGAGAACCGAAACGAATCTCAGCGATTTGTGTCTAATTGCGAAAAGGACGGATGAAAATATATTCCAGACATATCTTAAATTCATTTTAACTTGAAAACTCGGAGGAGTCCGTAATGGACCGACTAAAAGAACAACAGCAAAAGTACTTATTGAAAATTAGGAAATATGGAATTCGCAGGGATGCCGGCGGAGAAGCTCGCGAAGCTAAACTAAGAGTAATTGCTGGAGATTCGAGAATTCTTTATACATTTATACGAAATATTGCACGAGTTCCTCTAAGAATTCGACGAATCAGTCTGAAAGTTACAAGGTATTTTCTTTGTTATGCGTTTATATTTGTCTTTTCCTAAACTAGAGTTGGATAAGCAAAAATTATTGAAAAGCCTATAACAGAAAAGTGATAGAACAATTTATAGCACAACTCAGGAGTGAATATTTTTAATTAAGTTGAGGTTGCTCGAAATCAGTTTTCTTGTTAACTTGATCTATCGAAAAACCTCTCGAAACCATCGCGTTTCCACTACTGAACGCTTCGTATCGTGAATTATCTAAAGTTTACTCATAAGTCCTGCCCCTGCCAACAAAAGCCTCCTCTCCTTCCGCTCCCTTAAAAACCGCAAAAACCCAAACAAAGCAAAGCGGCAGTCATCGCTGTTTGCTTCACGAGTGTGCTCTGTTTTAAGTTATCTAAACAGTTATTCGGTAACTAGGATAATGGCCGCTACAACTTGCCGCCGAACAAATGCTCGGGAGAAAAGGAGACTGAGATCTCAAGAGTGGTGAACTCGATGGGGCTTTGTAATCTTTGTTCGGCGCCCAGTTTGCAGGGGTGAATAGCTGAGATATCCTCGTTCATTTAGTTTCACGGAAAATTCGAAACCTCTCTTAACTATGGAACTAGATGAAAAACACGAGTTAGAACTAAATGGCATTACACTGAAAGAAATCGAACTTTTTATGTTGTTAAGGAAGAATTAATTTATGTCTGAATAAGACAAACTTAAAAAAATGCTGAATAAGTTGAAACACAAGATGTAATTATTGGAATGAGGGGTCATATTTATAAGACCTTTACAAACACGTATTTCATGTCACTCAGATTAGTAATTGTATTAATTTTTTTTTTTTATTATGTGTATTGAACAATATTAGAGAATATTGAAGTGTTATAAGCGGCTGTTAGCTGATTTGTTTCCTCGTAGAAGTTTTATTTGTCGCACGATCCCAATAACCTCACCAATGTCTCGAAATCGAAGCGGGAGAGACAATGGATTGAAGTTGGCTGCCATCACGAGTTACTAATTTCGATCGCGGAGTAAAAAGTTTCGGGGGGGCACATACAATGAGCAATTGTTTCGTCGACCGGTAAAAGAAGACTAGACGTGAGTTACAAACAAACGAGATACCGCGGAGGGAATTTTAGATGGTCCCCTGAACGATTTCCTTGGCTTTATCGCCATATACAGGGTCAACAGAATGTGGTCCAGGTTCTCGGAAAACTTCTCCAAGTGAAGCAGCGAAATATTTTTAGCAGATTTTAAGAAGGTTCTGTTTTCGAGGTAGAAATTAAAGAATATCAAATTTTCTCAAATATTTCTAAGGAAGTTTGATTTAGAATAATGATAGTAGTCGTTACTTTATCGAATGATAGGTAAAAATTCGCTGGGTTGGCTGATAATAATAATACAAGGGATTAGTACCACTAGGTACTTTAAAACTTTGACGTCTCTTGACTATTTTCCGTTCTCGTTTACTGTTTTTAATTTTTTTAAGAAAATTAATTCTTCCATTTTATTCCAAGATCAAGCCATTTTGGATTTTTTTATTTCTGGATAAGTTTACTACAGAGTTGAACAAATCTATTAAACTATTCAATTAACAAAAAGAAAACAGTATTTTCTTTGTTAAAATACGATTTTAAATTCAATATACTACCCATGTTGGAAAAAAATATCGTGTTTTTTTAAATTTTTTAAGCGTAGGTATTCCTAAAAATTTTCAAACTACCTACGCCAATGATTTCTTAGGCTTTTGATGATTTACTCTCTGTTTCTAATAAGAAAAATCACATTATTTTTCATAAAGTAATTTCTACACTTCGCGATACGATTATATTAAATTTTTGCAATTCTATCAATTTTTCCAGTTAAATCTGGAATACTTTATGTATTATTCAGGCCTAATTTTTTTATTTATTTTGCCATTCCATTATGCTATTAATAATTCAATTTTTAACGTCACAAACTACACCACTGTACTACATTTCAATGTTACAATAAATAAATAAAATAAAAAAGTGATATGACCTGAAGATCCCACTAGACTATCTCTATGTATTTTGATGGGCTGAACACTAGTCTGGCACTAATTAACCTTCCTGGCTTTTCTCATATAAGTATTTTCTAAAAAAAAAAGATAGAAATTATTGATCTGTAACCGTGAATAGAAAAATTCAAACCCCAAACTATTACCTAAGTTTGCAACGTACTATTTTGTCGAACTACTATTTTCAGTTTCCATTTTCAGTAACCAACAAAAAATCTACCATCGTATAACAGACCATGTGCCATGGAATCTTGCTTTAATTTCTTTAATTACTTAAGTTTTCAGGAAATAGTTCAGGTGGGAATCCAAGAAATAAATTTTTTAAATTCATTAAACATCCTAACCGTTGGTAATTTCTTATCATTGTTTTAGTATTCGACGCTTTGCCCCTAAAAAAACTGGAACCCCACACTTAAGTCACATCCTGTATATTAAATATTTTAATTATTTCTTTTTTTCAGATTTCAACCTGAATTCGTGGATCCGACACTACGAACCGGCCCGGTACGATCCCGGCCTGCTGGCCCTCCAACACAGACGCGTCCGCAGGAGTCTGGTAGGCGATCGGCAGCGCCCCCTGCGATTGGACATTAGGGCACACGACCGGTAAGTTGTTTTCATAACCCTCTCCCCCGTACGAGCGTCCGTGGGATGTGATGTGATTTAGATTGGTTTTCGGGGTTCCTTTTTTTTTAGTCCCTGAGAAAGGACAAGTCGATGAAACGGAATTTACATTTGGCGGTCGATTGAGGCTTCAGTAATATTTAATTTATAACTTGTATTCCCTAAAATTTGTTGTGAAAAAATTATGTCGATATAGCTTTAATATTAATAAGTAATTTCTATAGTTGTAAAATTTTTTAAACTGTCCAAATCGCTCGCAGACCATTTATGACGTCACACCGTTCGACTAGCTGCAATTACGTCATTACGTGACGAGTGGTATGACGTCACAATATGGCTTCCGTGCGTTTTCTCGCGCTCCATTTTCGTTAATTATTTTGAGGGAGAAATTGTTGGAAACAAATTCTGATTTTTTGCACACAAACTAACTACGATGTGTGTTTATGAATATAAATAAAAAACCTTGCATCTTAAAAGTGGATGTCCAAACGCATTATTGACAATTTCTCCTTTAATTTCAACGTATTCAAATATTTTACGGTTTGCTTTATTGATATTTCCGTTTTTGTGACACATTGGATTGATTTTGTATCAAATTGAGAAAAATACAAGGGGCCCAATCAACCTCTGTAACATTTCTGGAAGCAACGCCGTTGTTCGGGGGGTCGCCTTCAAAGGCGCGGACGACACTTGCAGGCGATCGCTTCTATTATACGGCTAGAAATCAGGAAAAGTCCTTACAAGGGTCAGAATAAACGCGGAAACGGACGTACAATGGGGACGCGTTAAATCGAACGACCTCCTCGTTCTAAAACTCGAGAAAACCGTCTCGGACACAGGCGGAAGTGATTCGGGAACAGAAAAGGGTATCAGGTGTTGCGGAATCGAACGTATCTGTCTACTACAGGTGTGGGGAAGGATTTAAGGTATATAGAAATAATCTTAAGTTCGATAAAAGTCGTCATGTCGAACAATAATTTCTATAATAGTTGTTTCAAGGGGACTTGCGATGATTTGGTTGGTATTTCGTTGGGACGGTTCCGCGCTAGGAACGAAAAAGTGGCGTGAATATAATCAAGAAAGCCTCAATAGTAATGTTTCTTACTTGACATTAATTTTTCATCAACAAAGAAAACTGCGTTTGTTTCAACGGGATTTTGGTATGTTTGTGTAAAAATGACGTATCTATAAGCCATTTCCAGTAACAAATTTCAACCCCCCTTTGTTGAACACGTTTGAAAATATATGGCCGGACGCGCGAAAAATCCCATTAATCTAACCATTGATAATCCAATGTCAAATTGCGCTTTTTATTTATCCCGTAAATCCATGTTGTGTGAATCTGACGGCGAAAATATTTATGCCAATGTTTATACCGCTTCACACCCAGGGCTGGTGATATACGTCGCCTCAGTGCAAGAAATAAAATAGGCGTCGACTTTTTTTACTTTATTTCACGTGTCATTAAGCGAAAAATTAGGAAAGTCAAAAATGTACCGATTCATAAGAAGTTTTGGTTTTGTTTTATCAGGATGATGGAATTATAGCCAGTTAAAAAACAAACTGCTTTACTTTTTTTTTACTCTGTGGAGAGATAAATGTTCGTAAAATGTTAGAATTAAAAAAAAGTAATAGCATTATCGCGATGTTTCATGTTAAATGCTGATATTCAATTACTTTATGCTAATGGTACACGTTACAGGTTTCCGTCTGCGTTTCCCCTTGCCCCCCTCCCCCCTTCCCGCGCCTCCTTCGCGATGTAAATCAATTTCGCCGAGCGGCAATTCATTATTTCGCGTATTAAACGCAACTTTGACAAATTGGGGAATGCCATGATATTAAAATATTCGAAATTAATATCCGACGTTGCGCTCTCCCAGTGATGAATTGTTTCCTAAAAAGAGAGCCACAGCCGTAGACGCGAGACGATGGATTATTTGTGTTTCATTTCGGCCGGAATTTCCTCTCGACGTCGCTCGTCACCGCTAATTTTATACCGGGGCGGTTATTTCGCGAAACGACGGGCCCTCTTCGACGGTGTCGATTCGTCCTTATTCGGGCCACACAGTTAAAAAAAAATAATTAAGTAAATAGTCGATTAACGTTTTTAGCTGCGCTTTAATTCGTGTTTACGTAAACCGGGCTACCTGGAATTAGCGCGGTAAGGTGTATCAGTACTATCAGTGCACTATCAACGTTGCCAGTTGTACGTAATATAAAAATAAATCAAAAGAATACTGTTTAGACATTAAACTTTCATTTTTTGCAACGTTTCTATGCCCCCATAACCAATACTTGTCGTATGAAGTGCCCCGTCTACGATTTTGACTTTCGTTTCAATGGAACTAGTCGAACAGCGCCTTTCGTACTTGTAATAACTTCATAAACTCTAGCAGAATGTCCAACGCAAGGGCCAATCAATATTTTCCAAGATCTTCTGCTTGTGGGGTCCCCCAGGAAGTAAACCAGTGGACCGGGATTTTAGGATTGGGGAGGACATATGTAATTGTTAATAAAATTTTATTCCCTTAATGGAGAAGGGAAGACGGCGAATCTTATAAACGGCAGTTAAGGGGAAGTGAGATAACTATGCTGCGAGGGTTTCGCAAGATATAATTCTAGAGATGCTGGGAACCGTACGGCGGGCGTTGTTATACACAGGCATGAAATAAATGTTTTTGGGGACTGGAAACATGTTTTAATAATAATTCGGTTACGAAGCACGTGGAAATATATTTTTATAGACCTCGCTCGTAATAACATAAAATTATTTCGACGTAAATCAGATAAAACAGTATAATCAATATGGAATTATCGCGCTTTTTACTAATTCAACTGGAAATAAATTTACAGCGGGAGCTAATCCATTCCGTCTGATATTAAAGGCAATAATTCTGATTGCAATTTCGAATCGATGGGGATTTCTTTAGCAATTATCCGTTGTAATGGCCTTTTTAGCGGGGATTTTCCATATTTATAATCGTCCGGATTAGTTTTGTACGGGAAACGTTCAGCGAAGCTTTAGAAATAGAGCAAAAACAATTCGATTAATGGAGAAGCCAAATAAAGTCCTGGCTTACTTTAAACTCGTGCGCTAGACCTGTCAGCGGGACGAAAATAGCAGTGGATTTAGTAATAACGAATAAAATAACGATTATAGAAAATAAATACTGAGGTTGAGAACTGTTGGAAGTCGGGAGGGAAAGAAACGTCGTAGTCTCACATAACACATCATAATAAAGATTCTACTTTGAGACCTAGGTCGTAACCGACCAGTAAGACGTACTATAACTTTGCTGCAAAGCAAGGCGGAAAACGAGTCCAGTACATTCGTTCTGCGCCCCCAGCATTTTGTCTATAATCACCGTACACCAGTAACATATCCAACGATCCGTGATCGTTGTAATTATGCGTCAGCGTTGTTTCGTTTTAACGAGAATATCATTGGATTTCATAATAGTTTTCAAAACTGTAATAGTATACCTAAGAAGTAAAAACTAGAATAAATAATAATATATCATCCTTATACACTTAAGCTTTATCTTTTGCGTAGAAATCCAAACATTCTCAGAGAACCGTGAAAATTCAGTAAAATTGAACTGTTAATAAAACTAGGCTGTCAAAAATTTGGTTAAAAAAACTTTAAATGTTTTTTTTGTTAGTTATCCAATTTTTCCGCTAATCAAGTCTCTAAATTTAGGTACACTACTTCTAATAGTATATTATGTTACTAGGAGTAGAAGGCGATCATTATGTGTTGAGCCCAAAAGTTTGCTCGCCGAGGCTGAGCAAATTGGGCAAAACACATAATGAGCCTTCCACTCCGAGTGACATATACTATTTCTTCTTCAAGCGTGAATATAAAAAATTAATAATTTTGAAAATTTATAGCGGATAACGCGATGTTCAATCTCAGCACAAAATAAAATCAGTAGTAGGTAGGTAATACTATTTATTTTATACATTTTATACATTTTATTGATTAATTAAACATGACAGTTTTAACCACTTTATTCATGAATAAAAAAACAAATGTAACAATTATTTTTCTTTAATTTGAATTAAACGAATAAACATCTAAATTACCTACATGTCTATCATCAAACTTTATTTATTAACATGAATATTAAATGTGCAATTTTGTATGGTACAGTTGTTGATATTTAAAGCGCTGCTGGCTGTCTTTTTTCAAAGTTTACAGTTCTGTCGTTGAATACGTTACTTGTAATAAGGTTCTCAGTTTCAGTGTTAACAATTGTACCATTATTAACAGAAAAGTCTTCGATTAAATTATTTTCAGGATCAATATTTACAGTTTCGCTTGATGTACTTGGTTCATTATACTCTAATGGGTTTAATATTTTCATCGCTATCTGTTTCTTATTGTTTACAGAATCTTCAATGTATCCTTCAGCGACGATGGTAGATTTCCATCCACCATGTCGCTTTAGGGTTGTAATGTCTCCACCATTATCAACTAAGATAGTTGCCGAGGTTCTTCTAAGGCAAGGCCCCGTGTGGATTTGGCAACCTTAAAAATGATGCAACATCTTTTGGCACTTTTGAAATTTTATGTATGCCCATTACAACACGATGACAATGGCCATTTTGATATTTAATAAAAAATCTATCAAAAGTTATGTCTTTTGGCCGAAGAGTAGCATATTTTCTGTATAAATTTAAATAAAACTCTCCAATTATGGTAAATGAACGATGTTTTTTAGTTTTTGTATTGGGAATATTTACTAATATTATATTTCCCAAATCTTTTACATCATTAACTTTTACTTGAATGAGTTCATCGCATCTACAAGCTCCTGTGACTCCAAATATTAGTGCAACCTAAAAAATATAGAATTATTAATTTTGTAACAATAAAAAAAGTTGGAAAATGCAAGGAAATTCTAAAACATGACGTAATTTTAAGACATCTATATTTATGAGTTTTTACAACATTCTTCCAATAAGCTATCTTTATTTCC